TTTTTTTTTTTTTTTTTTTTTTTTTTTTTTTTAATTTTTTTTTTTTTTTTTTTTTTTTTTTTTTTCGTATTTTCTCTGTTATCGATATTGAAAATGCAACTTTTAAATCTTCAAGCAAAGCGCAAGTTGATTTGCTAGACTGAGAAAAGTGGAATTCGCAGGGAAAATTTTCGAGTGTAGGTAAATTAAAGAGAACTTTTGTGCAACTTTATCAAAAATTATTCCGTTTGTAATATTAAATATTACAAAATATTATCTCTTCTCTCGTATTATCTCTTTAAATGAAGATTTTGGAAGAAGCTGGACTAAACCGAAAGAAGGGAAATCGTTCGTAGAGAAAATCTGGAGATAATTTCGCTACTTAAATTCTTTACTCATCAGAGAAGTGCTTTACTGATGACAATTTATTTGCAATCTTTTGTATCATCGCTGTCGTTCTCTTCCTTCCCTATCTCGCTGAATGATCGAAGTTGAACATGTAAACGTCTTTAAATAAAAATAGATCTCTTTGAAACGTTACGTGGGCACGATTGGGCTAGACTGAAAGAATGGGAATTCTTTGCTAGAGTTCGTAGAAAAGCAACTCTAAATTTAAAGTACTTTATCTCTCGCAATTAGCCTGTTGATGAACGACGGCAACGTTCACCAGGTTAATGGTAATATCGTAACCTCCTTCTTAAATGTTACGTTGCTTTTCTGGTAGGCTTCGGAGAACCGAAGGACTTAAATTTAACTGAACTAATTGAATTTCTCACGGTTACGTGTACGTGGCCGTTATTAAAATAAAATTTCGCGGAAGCAAAGTTCAACAGGAGCGTCGTATAAATGAAAATTTCTAAGAATCGTTCGTAGTGTCTCCGAAATTTTCGTAAATTTCGAGGACGATCGCTTGGTCCCTTCGATCTTTCAGACAGAAATTGTAATAGTTCAACGTTTGATCGAAATATTTCTACGTAAAACGTTTGCCAAGGTCAAGTGTCTCATTATCACCATATTGATATTTATCACGGGTGCGAAACAGTGGCTTTAAGTCACTTAAAGCCGATGGCGTCGAGCGAGCTTAAGGTCTGCGAGCTGTAACTCGAAATTCATGGCTAAAAATTCTCTCTCTCTCTTTCTTTTTTTTTGTTTTTCTTTATAAAAAGTCTTCAAGTTAAGAACCTTGAAATGAATTGAAAAGTCGTGAACGAGTGAATTTGAAAATTGTGAATCAGAAAGAAATTTCAGTTTGAATCATTCATTCGATTATTTGGTGACAAAAGGAAAATGATTCCTGTTGAGATACATAGCTAATACCTCGTGATTTAACGAAAACCATAAAATCTACTAACAAAATTTGACTTTATACTTTCGCAATCTATCTTCGAAATACTCGCGAGTGTACATTTATCGTCGCAGCAGTTATCTCTGTACAAAGCTCCAGTCATCATAGAAAAACATTTCCACGTGAAATGAAACCACCGCGCGAATGCGTTTGCCCCTCGTATACACAGAGACTCGCGCAAACATCCTCAACGTAATTATTAATTCAAAACAATCGTCAACAGAAACAATGTTCGTGCAACGAACAGAGTAATATCCATCCTTCGAACAACAATCTCCAATCTTGATCCAAGATCTCCGAGCTCTCCGTATCCCACTGGTACGACACTTATCAACCATCTGCCACCTGTATATCCTGTAATTTTGCGACTGCGAATAAAACCGACTCGCGTAGGAATGAAACCCACGTATCCACCCTATGTCCCTCGTTTCTCATAGCACGATAAACGAGGAAGAGAAGATTTTCGCAAAGTGGAAGATTCGGTCGGTTGAGCAGGGCGTGGTGCTTGTCAGACGGTTTTATCGTAAAACAGGAGGATAATGCGATCGAGCCGGGAAAAATCGCGGAAGACTTATGGGTCTAGACTCGACGGTTTCTAGGCTCTCTGGGCCTCTGGGCACTGGCAAGCCTCCACGTCGGCATGCGAGATACAAGCTGCCGATTAAACTTCCTATCCGGCCCCCTGTGTGTATGTACTATTCCGCTATAGATACGCTCTGCCATCAGAAACTGGAGATTTTCACAACGGTAGCCTTCGGCGTGTCTCTGCTACCGATCGTAGGGAACGGTCATCAAATACTCGAATTCCAAAGTGTTAAGCAGCTATAGTATTCGGAAATATTTTTCTTCGTGATAAAAGAGGAGAGCAATGTCTATGAAGATCATTTGAATTTTTGTTAAGAAAAAAATTCATAAAGTTGATATAAATAGGATTTGTTATAAGTAGGATTCTTTTGGCATGTTTTTGTGTTCAAAGCGGGATAGGATATGGAAAACAATATCTCGTACGAATGACGAATGATAATTCGCGACGTGCGGTTAATTTTTAATTTTACGGAGAGCACAGATATGAGAGTGAAAAGTGAAAATTTCTCATTAACTGAACGTTCATGAGATAATCCAGATAAGTAAAATGAAATATAAAGTTTACAGAACTGCAAGAGTCATTTTTTATATCTAGATAATATCAATTATTCTCAAGTCTGATGCCATATTATGGTAAATTATACGTTCCATTGTGAAAATAATTGAGTAAAACTAAAATGAACTTTCACTTGCAATCTATAGATTCTTGAAAAGCAGCATTTCAATTACGAGATGCCAATTGATTCCATACTTTCACTATTATTCTATCAAACATTTAATTCAAATGAACAGACAGGCAGTTTTATTTCACCATAGATTTAAAAATGAATGGAAATCTGGAATGGATAAAATTTAAAGTCAACACCGGAATAACTATTATAATATTTGCATACGCAACATATTCTAAATTTCAAGCATTCAAACATTAAATAAAATCTTTTTAATTTGCAGTGTAGTACCTACTGCCACTATCCTGTAAATATCTAATTGTAAAGGTCTGCCATTTTATAATAATGATTTTAAAACAAACAAATAAATTCAGAAGATTTGCTCTTCAAAAGCAAAAAATCCTAAATTCTAATTCCAAAAAAAAAAAAAAAATTCTCAGAACATTGAAAGCATGCTCCTCGACCCAAAAACAAAAAAGGGGAACCTATAACGGGGCGAGGTTGTGCGAAAGTCTCACGGAAACGCGAATTTTTCACGGCCGGCATCGTGGTGCTTTTCCAATTCGTAATTTCACGTGTGCACGCACGGCAGGAACCCGCGTGTCTCATTGTTCCCCCCGGGCTCGTTCGCACGTTTAGTTCTTCCCATTATGCGAGATAACGCCGGAAGCCGGTTATCTCGGTTCCGATCGCGGCCCGCCGATCATTATGCTTTTCAGGAAGCGCGACTTTCCCAAATGCGGTTGACGAACGGTCGCCGGATATACAAGGTGCCCCGAGAGTTTTGTCGGCCGGCTTTTAATGCCGTTACGTCGGACAAAGGAGATATCCCGGCGCGGATATCTCGATAGCTGCGGAATGTACTCTCCAAAGACAGATTGTTCGAAAGCCTGGCTTTCTATTCTCTCTCGTGAATCCCTGATCGTTATGAATGCATCTGTTTTGCACGAAGACGAAACGAGACGGAAAAACAGCTGGGACACGATGTTTTCTCTCGTTTACCCAAGACTGTAGGATGGATCGTTTTACGGACTTGTGCGTGGACTGTGTTTCGATTCGAAGGATTTAATTGCAATTCACAATTGTGGTTTTCACTTTCATCAGATAGTTTTTCTTATTTTTGTGAAATTTACTTATGTGCTTCTACTTTTGCTCTGCCGGATTTCATTTCTGTTTTGTAAGGTTCCCGCTGTTTTGCGTATTGAAAGATTCACTGCCTGTCGAACTGAGTATTAAAACATTTATTGTATACTTTATGTATGTATTACTGATATTTTAAGAAAAATGGGACATTTTTCTCACGAAAAAGAATTGAAGAAAAAGTCAAGAAGTTAATTTTTCTAGTACCAAAAATCTTTAGACGTGTATAACTGTTCCTCTCGATTTAAATACTTTGATTAATTTCCTCGCTGCCGCTCACCAGTGACCTTCGTGGCATTGAAGATTTAACCCTGAATTGCTACAATAAATTGTACAACGGTATTCCAACAAATTAAAAATATTCTCTTTAATCGGATCACCGTAACATCGTATGTTTCTTTTTAACAAAGTAATTGTCTGGATTATTCCAAAACTATATATATATATATATTGGATTCTACGAAAGTACAAATCAAACCGCGTTAAGATAAAACGAATTTATAATTTACGAATGCGTTAGGATAATTTGGAACGGTTTAATGGCTCAGTTTTATACCTGGGAAACTATTGCCGATAACTATTTCTGTATTTTTCGTACTGACATCAGGATCGTAGAACTTACATACGTGTAAACAAGATAGCGTGCAATAAATTCCGAACGATTTAGATTCAGATAAAACTCGTGCGCATGTGTGTGTGTGTGTGTCTGTGTGTTTACTGTCTTCGTTCTATTTTTTTACGTTAATTAAAATTCACCCGGTCATTGCCGAGCCCCGCTGGTAACGGCTGCATCACGAGGAAAATCGTTTAATTAAGCGGCAGTTTCTCGTTTGATATACAAACCGATCCTGTAATTTTCCTCGAAATAACAACATTCCAAGCGAACGTGTTCCCATCGATTAACTTCTTCGGTATCCGTCGATTCGCGGCCAGATAAATTGAACACACACACCGCCACCGGAAGAATTACGTTATCGTATAATAAATTACCATTTGATCGTAGATAAATTATAGACAACGCCATCGACCAGAGTCGAGATTATTCGGTAAAACGTGCTCGAGGATCGAAGTCGAATAAAGTGTGTTAAATCTGCCAAGATCGTTCGATTTTTCTTTCTTTTCCCTGACAGCGATCCAGTCACTTTCAGTCATATTTTATATCGTCCTAATCGCGCGCGAGAAATAAATAATTAATCGTAAATGATCGGAACAACTTGGAAAGAAACGCGACTTAATTTGAAAATTTTCACTTCTTTTCAATCTGTATCTCACTAGAATTTAATGTAGAATTTCAACGAATATTGTTAATGGTACTAATGGTTCAGTATTAACACTGCTGTTCGCTTCTTAGTGAAAACTTCTCATGCAACACACGGCGCGGCGGTACGATGAAAGGAATCAGATATAAATATTAAACTACTATCGCCTACAATTAGTATGGTGTATGTTGTATATTTGCATATGCAAACGCAACCTTTAAAACACCACTAATTACTACTAGATGACGTTTGCGCAAAAAGTTAGAGGTACAAATCCCGTTATTTTTCCGACACCGACGTATCCAGCGTTTTTTATCCATTGCTTTCTCCTTTTCCACGCAGACATTAATTGACACGTTAATCATCATTTGCAGTAAAAAAAAAAAAAAGTTTTCCATTCCTCGACGTGTTCTTTCTTTCAATTATTTCATTATCATTTAAAACTAAATCCCCATCATTGTCTCCCATTGTCAAAACTCAACACTAGAAGAGTTGAATTTAAATGTCGTGTCTCGAAGTAAATGTTGCCTTTTTTTCTTTTTCTAAACAACGACGACGGAGATAAGAGAAACTTCACGGAACAATTGAGAAGTTCTTCGAAATCGTGCGCGCATTAATCGACTAATTACCATCGCCTCGCCTCACCGGACGGACAATCGCGTGCATGCGAACGAATGGTTTAAAAATGAATTTATTTTCCCGCGGCTCCTTTCTCAATAACACGCCGCTCGCGGATAGATCGTGCCTGGCTGACACCGATTAACGGTAAAATCAGAGGCAGATAATCTCAATGAGCTTCGATCTAATCTTCGGCGGGTTTTCTTCCGCGGACGTTCCGCTCGTCGGCGATTGCCTCGCCTCGTCGGGCGAGATTGCATCGCGTTTTTTTTTCCACGCGTTAATAAACAAGTTTATTTATTTCACGCTGTTAATTAACCGCATT